AAATGAATCAAAAAATATTTTTCAATAAATTACTTTTTTGTGTACTCCAAAATATGACTATAGGTCATATTCGAAATGCAAATTCCAGTGGTATCAGAGTGGTTGCAGTCATAAACTGTGAGCATCCTCAAATTTTCATTTGATCTGTCGTTCATATATCTGTCGGAAAAATATCAGTGGTCCCAATCCAGCCATGAATCATATGAAGGGAATGACATGCAGGAAAGGAGCCACAGGCTGGATTTGAACCTGGCCACCCGCTTGGAAGACTACAGCCTCCATACATGGGGCGCACGCACTAACCACTGCGCCACCAGCGCCCCCCAACCATGAATCATTTGAATCATTTCTTTGTATGTCCTACATACTTGAAGTCATATCTCAAAGCGCATAGCTTTCTGGATTTGAACACATTTGAGGTGAGACATCATTTTGGTAGTATTGTGATGTGCTGACTCCAGAAATATAACAAATACCAATATAACAGTAGCTGATTGTCCTTCGAACCTAACTAGCCTTTTGAATCTGACAAGTATGTCACATCTAAGAGATTAACTGGTGAAAAGCAAAAATGTTTTCAGTAAACATTGTGCTCAGAAATATTGGATGTGTGTGTGTAAGTGGTAGACAGGCTGCTGTAGGGACAAATATGTAAGTGAAAACTCTCATGAAGAGGACCAAATTAAATGATAATCCCAGTATCCCAATATTCATTCAGTGGTAGATTTTTGCTCTCAATGGAAGTGTAGAATATAAGGTAGCACCGATCCAACCAATCCTGATCTATGAAAACCTGCCTAACTGGTATACTATTAGTAATCGCACAAGGTGCAGAGGGAAATATAGTTTTCAAAGTGACATGACACTAATCAGTTGGAATTGGGGTACAGCCAAAACTAACCATGATAAAATGAGAGAATTGATATGCCCCTTTGCATCTTGCACCCTTAAAGACATTCAGTCAGATTCCATAACATTGTGGCTAGTTTGAATCAGTTCGTATTTTTTAGAGCTTTGATCATATTAAAAAAAGATGGAGTTTATAATGATCCTTTACAGAGGTTTATATTAAGAGTCTGTCCATATAAAACAAGATATTAGCTCCCAGGAAGGTTCCGACAATAAAAGTTTTTTTCAGCGTGTCCATACTATGTGCAGTATTGGCTCCTCTAAAAGCATGTGTTTCTTTGCACATTAGTTGTCTGTATGTGCAGCCTGCGTGGAGCGAGATGAACTATATTTAAAAGTAGTAGAAGGGGTTAGATGCGGTCGTAAATGCTGTGCAAATTGCGGCAATGTCAGTGGCTTTTGGTTTTCAGTTGGGAAACGTTTGTGATTTACAACACCTTGTTTCTGTTTCTGAGGTTGAGCATTAACAAAGTGAAGGGGGAGGAGGATCGCAGAATTGGTTCAAACGCACTTCCATTTAGCAATAACAGTATGGATGACTGAATAAAAACTGAAAATGATTGTTTTGTAGCAGATATTATCACATCAATAAAGCTCTATCAGCAATATAACACATAAAAATAGATAAAAAGCAACCAGTCTTCTTCTTTCCCCCTGCTCTCCAGATCTCATCCTGCTCAGTTCAGTTCTGTGTCAGTCACATGTGAAATTGACACGGTGAGCTGTGAAAATACGCCTCCCTGGATGCACATCAGACAGGAGGATCACAGTAACCTGTCTGAAATATGACTCTCCCACGTTCATATTCTCTCTTTCTTCCTTTTTAAACCTCATTTAAATTCAGATTGAATAAATATTTGCTTGTTCCTTGGATTACAATGTGTGAGAAACTGAATGGGCAGTGAGTAGGCTAAATGGTGGGTAGTGTTAGTTTTGTTGTCCACTGGTGACATACTGTGTTTGAATGTGAGAAAGAGCAACAGAATCATGATCATGACGCGTCCTCTATGGAGGATTTAAGATGCAGACTGCAATCAGTCGTTTTCCAATGCTCTATTGAAAACTGGCTGTTGTAATGAGCGTGCCATTCTAAACACCATCGAAGCTGATTACAATTCTTTGCCTGAATTATTCCTTTAGCAACTTGACATTTAATCATACCAACAATCGGTCTCTATTGTCTCCTAGTCTTTCATGTGGGTACAAGCTCAAGTGCATAAGGGGTCAAGTCACCCCTAAATATCTCAACATGCGTTAAATTAAGTGCTTGTCAGGTTGGATTTTTTTTACATGTTGATTTTTTGCCAAAGAGCGTTTGCAGGCTTTCAACTGCATTCTCAAATTCTCTTTTCACTTATCCCAAAAACATTATCATTCACTTTTGATGTTGATCACTTTCTGTAGTCAAACACTCTGGATTCTCGCAATTAAAAGCTGCATTTGTACATTAATTGTCATGTTACAAGTCCTACAGCCAATTTTATCAAATGGAGGCTGAATTGTTAAGTAAGAGCCTTTATAACAACTGACTGTTAACGTTTAGGATTCTGGTTCCCAACTTTGAATGTACCAACACAGCAGCTGCTTTACTTGTTTAATCACTAATTTTTCTTCATTTACAACAGATGAATGTGATTGTGACGTTTTGCAGTTAACTCAGATTGGTCCAAAACATTTGGTAGGTAGATGTTTTTTTATACTTGACAAAAGCACAATTCATTATTCTTTTAGTAGAGAACATCCTGGATACACCTGACATACCTCCAAGAGATTTAAGATGTTGCCCCTTGATTACACTTCTGACTGGGTGGAATTTACTTGATTACTAAACATCAACATCATCTGCACGCTGGTGTGTGCTGGCATTTTATAATCCGTCTGATGGTGCTTGAGTGTTTTGCAAAAGAACATATCGTCTGATGTCATGTTTGTGCCTGCCTCTCTGTTGTCTGAAAGGAATATGTGTTGCTATAAATCACCTTGTCCATTTCTTACCTCTACTCTATTTCATCTTTCTATTCTCCATTTCAGGACATTTCAAGGAAAAAAAAACACACTAGTTTCACAACCCAGACATGTCAACAACGAAACTGCTGGACAAGTCAGAACTAGGCAATTTAGGTTTTTACATCTCTGTGGACCAGCAGGAAAATCAAGACCAGTCTAGCAGGACTGTACTATAAATGTCTTTATCCTGATTTGAGACATGAGAAATAAGCCTCTGCCAAGATTTAGTTTTGTTAGTGACGGGTAATTACATGAGCATGGTCACAAAAAGCTCAATCTAAAGTTAAATTTACATCAAAGTGTTATAGTTATCATTAAATGGATGACAGGTCAAGGAAATGAGAGTTTTTTTTAATACATCTGCAGATGTGACAAACTGTAAATAATGATCTGACTGGGGGAAGTACATGTTGTTGACCGGATCGCTTTCCTGTCAAAATCTGTCAGCTTATTATATTGACTCTAGAGTGCAATAAGGACAGGTATCTGTCATAAAACAGCAGAGACATGGCAGATGTTGTAGTAGGTGCTTAAAGCCGATAAGGCCTGGAACGAGGCCAATGATGGCCTATCTGCTCTTCCTTAAACATTTACGTACAGAAATATGACTCAGAGCATGACTCTAGCCATTAGTGTTCATTTTTTACACAAGTCAAACATTAATTATTGTAAATGCTAGGAGAAACAGTATGTCCTTGTATATTTTCTGGGTTCAATTTGTTTCTGCATATATTCTATAATAAACCTATGCCATACCAGCGGTGTATCTTGAGGACAGATGGTGGTGGAGGTCTTTATGTCTGTCTGTCTGTCTGTCCAACACCTTGGTCAAGACTGAAACATCTCAACAACTATCAAATTGATTGCCATGCATCCCGTTAACAACATTTAAGTTACAGATAATTCAAATTTATATTTTCAACAATTTTGTTAGTCCAACAATGGGTTATGACATACCTTCAGATCTGATGAAATTCCCCTCAATTTTCATGTTCCTTGTGCACCTTACTCCCATGTTAGCATGCTAACAAATGCATAATGAAACAAAGTAAACGCAACAGACTCAGAAGCAAGACACCACTGAGGCAAAGTAAAATCAGGCAGGTGTTTATTGGTTTGAAACAGGAAAAACAACCTATACAGAGAAACACACGAGAATAAGCAATATAGGAAGAGGGTACAGCAGGGAAAACATGGAGAACTGGCCCCCTGAGAAAGGACATGGGGTTAAATACACAGACAATCAGAGGAAATCTAGATGCAGGTGGGTTCAATCAGAGTGGGGCTAACATCAGGCGGTAAACACAGGGAGCAAGTAACAAAATAAAACAGGAAATGAAAATATGAAGGAGCAAAACAACTTCACGTTTAGACAGTGTCAGGTATTATATCTGATTATGGTTTGAGTATTTGTGTCATTGTTTGCTAGTTAGCACGCTTACTTAGCATGAAGCTCAAAATATCTGTGGCCAATGTGGCTTACATTGCTCTTATACTCTTCCTTTTTTGTTTGAAAATTCACTTTACCATTTCACATCACAAACACAGAAGCTTGACAAAAAATGCTTTTAATCAATTAGGATGACAGACAATTGATGTTGAAAGGAAATGAAAGGAATTCCCATCTTCGTACAGTTGTAAGTCACAATTTACCTGTCCTTTTTAGTGAGCTGTCCTTCTCTACCAGCCTCAGAGATTCAGCTCAGGAGCCAATATCTGACCTTTGACAATCCTTGACAGAGGAATAATAAAGGAGAATTTCCCTTGTGGTGCTCCCTTTAGCGTTGTGTTATCACTGCATTACAAAGACAAACTAACATGCTGATGGGATCTGGCAGACACAGCTTCTGCTCGTCGCAGCCTGTTTGTCTTGTAAATATCAAGCTCTTTCAAGCTGTGATCCAGTTACTTATTTGAGGAACAAATAACACATTTTTGGCACCTTGATACCCTCATGACAAGGACTAACAAGAAGAAATCCAACCCCCTTTGTATGAGCAAGCTGGCTACTATTTTCTGAAAAATGCAGTATTATTGCAACAGCCAGCAAAGGACATCTTGAATGTGTTTGTGTGTAACAACAGGGCCAGAGCATGGGGTGACGAGGACTATCCTCTGCTGATCTCAATGCAGATGACCAGTGATGGCCACAGCATCACCTCAACAGTAAGTCATAAAATGTAAACTCTAATATATGCATTTTATTTCAAAGGGAGTCTTGTTTTATATAAGGTACCAATTGCTCAGTTATGGAAGTGTTGCTTTCTTATTGACTAGAAAGGCCCATCAGAAATGTGTCATCACATAATGTATCAGGTCAAAGTGAAGCTAAGGCTTGGCACTCCAGTTTGATCATCTCTTTGTTTCCTCTTCTCTTTAATCTTATCTTCCCCTCCAAAAAATCAAATCGTAATGCTAACGGATATTCTTTTTTTTTTTTTGCAGTTTGTTGGATGAAGTAATAAACACTGGCCAACAACAGGAACATCAGCAACAGGAAGAATTTCTCAACTCACTAGAGACTATTGTCCTCACCATCTTTCTGTCCATCATCATCATCATGACAGTGTTTGGTAACTTGCTGGTCATGGTGGCACTCTGCAAGGACAGACATCTACGGTGAGTTTGTTGTCTTTTCTCAATGCTGAAAGCCTTACGAGTGGTCCAGTCTAGGGTTTAAAATCACTGCCTCGAGGTTTTCTCTCTGACTTGAAATATTTTTTGACTTTATGTTCCCTTCTTTGGAATACCTTTGTACTTCAAGCATTTCTTTATTTCTCGGTAAGCTAAAAATTGATCTAAAAAGTTGCAGTTTATAGAACATAAATATGTTGACTTTAAGTATGGTGTGACTTAAATGAGACAAGTGAGTCAAAACAAACCAAACCATGGCATTGATTCCTGCTCAATAAATTGATGTACACATGATCCTGAAAGGTATGTGAGAACTGTTCTTTGTATGTTCTTTACTTCACAAGTGTTAACATACTGCAGTGATAAACAGCCAGCCAAACTCTTTTTAAAGAGCCATAAAGTGAGCATGCTTGCTCCTTTAATGACTTCTTTCACAGAAGACAAGTCAGGATGACAACAATGAATCAGAATGAAAGTAGAAGTAAAATACGAATACCGCACTTAGCAGACTATGCTAAGTCCAACACCTATGGCATCAATAAGTCAACTTGTCACAGCCTAACATTTACATTAAAAAGTAAGACTATTTGCCATGCAAAAGTTACATATGAGCATTGGTAGCAACATAAACAACAGAGTGCCGCACAGATAATGTATTTACCTTTGGCCAACCCGGAGGTTAGCATTGCACAAGTTCCATGGACAAAAGGATTATGGGTTTTTGGATTATTGCTGACAATAAGCTCTTGTTCGTCGAGACAATTTTAACACATCATTTCCAAAGCTTAAGATACAAATGGCCAAGGTAAGATACAAATGTTAGGCTGTAAAGGAACTACACTGTGGTCGACTGACTTCAATCACCATCCTTAAGGTACCAAAGGATAGATAGGTTAGAGAAATTAGTTAAATATAGTCTATTGAGACAAGCTGATTAAATACAACATTAAGTATACTTTGGACTTTTAATGATGACTTTTGTGGATATATTATCATTGTTTACTTGTTTCCTGATATCTCCTGTTAGAAAGAAGAAGACTAACTACTTCATTGTGTCGCTGGCGTTTGCCGACTTGCTGGTTGCGGTTGTGGTGATGCCCTTCGCTGCGATCGAGCTGACCACTGGCCAGTGGCGTTACGGAGAGATCTTCTGCCTGGTCCGAACGTCTCTGGATGTTCTGTTAACTACAGCATCCATCCTACACCTCTGCTGCATTGCACTGGACAGGTTTGTGTGTATTTGTGTGTGAAATAGACAATGGGATGGATTTGAAGCTCATTTGTAGGCTTCATATACAGTATGTGTGTTCCTTTACATGTGTTTATATTTCCAGGTATTATGCTATCTGCTGCCAGCCTCTGGTTTACAGACACAAAATGACACCCATCAGAGTGGCAGCAATGCTCAGCGGTTGCTGGCTTATCCCCACGTTAATCTCCTTCCTACCCATAATGCAAAGCTGGAACGCAATCGGCATTGAAGACATTGTAAGTCTTATATTGTATAGGTGGTCAGAAAACAAGGAGGGAGGGATAGCTAACAAGTTAAAAAAAAAAAGGATTGTTACATTTTCATCATATAAATTCTACTGAATTTTTGCATCAATGAAGTATACTTTATATTTAAACAAACTATCACTGTTAGGAGTTTGTTACCTTTATCTCCTAAAGAGATAGATCTTCTCTCTGTGAGGGCAAATGCAGTATGAACCTCTCCAATCTCATATTCTGGGTTTTCTAATAACATCTTCAATCCCTTGAACAATGAAGAGGTAATACAGTGATCACACAACAATTCCCCAGTCCCTGTGGAGCCTCTCTTGCTGCAAGCAAAGACAGCACAGTATTTTTTTGCTGGTTTGGATACGTTTTGGCGTGAGGTTATTTCAGAGCTGACTTGCAATGAGCTGCGAGACTCCCAGGGGCAGAGGGGATGGATGAACTGATTCAGCCAGAGTTTCTCTGTATATCCCTCAGACAGCGTCCAAACAACATTCTCTTGTTTGAAATAACTGAGGTTTTTTTAACCTCTTAAAAATGATTCCCGCCCCTTATTAAAACAATAACCCTTTATTATATAAAACCATATGCAATCGTTCACAGATAGACCAGGATGTACATCTAAGTTTGTTAGTTAAGTGCTAACACAAAATAGAAATCGCCATTAACAGGCTAAATAAATCCACATCACGATTTTGGTCATTTTAAGTAAAGGATCGCTCTATTTCACTTAACAATGTCGTCCACACAATATGTGGAAATGAAGTTAATGCAGTATAATTGGGTGTTCTGACTTCAAAACTTGTCTGGTCTCTTGCAGATCTAACACATATTCATGTAATTTTTCATCATTCCCAGATTGAGGAAAGGCGAGCTCTGGCAGGGGGCTCCAATGACACCAGTTGCATATTTTTGGTCAACCGGCCATACGCCCTCATCTGCTCTGCTGTGGCCTTCTACGTCCCATTAGCTCTCATGGTCCTAGCCTACCAGCGTATCTATGTCACCGCCATGACCCATGTGCGGCAGATCGAGACACTTCAGCGGGCTGGCTCTGCTCCTGTTGCTGGTACAGTTCCAGTGATTATCGTGAGGTCCTCTACATCCTCAGATCCTATGGAGCACTATCGCTTAAGGACACCAACGGGCTCCTCCCATTCAGACCATGCTCCCATAGCGAACAGCCGAATGCGTGTTGAGACAAAAGCTGCAAAGACACTGGCAGTTATAATGGGTTGTTTCTGTCTATGCTGGGCACCGTTCTTTATCACCAACGTGGTGGATCCCTTCATCCATTACTCAGTGCCCTGGCAGCTGTGGACAGCCTGGTTGTGGCTCGGTTATATTAACTCAGGGTTGAACCCCTTCCTGTACGCCTTTCTCAACCGAGCATTTCGGAGGGCCTTTCTGGTGATTCTATGCTGTGGGGATGAGCGGTACGCACGGCAGGCCAGCTGCTCTTATGGACACTCCAACAGAGCATGCTCAGCTGCATCAGTCAACGGGACGTCGATGGCATTGAGGTAAAAACTCCATAACACACACTCTGGTGGGCTTGACTGTGATATTTGAAACATATTTGTTTGTCTGTCAGTTCAAGCCAGATATCAGCAAAATAAATTGTGTCAGTAAGTTTCTACAGTTGGACCAATCGGCCAGAGGAACTGCTCTGGCCGATCTGTTGAATTGAAACTCAATACTGGGTTACCATCTGTATAATTTACAGACAAATTACATTACTTAATTGTCTGCCAGGTTAGAAAAAATAATTCTGCTTTGTATCAGAAATAAAAAAAATAGATTTAAATGTGTCTATCCATTAACTATAGACTACAGCAGCAGGAATGTAAAAGATCCTGGTGAAATCATAATCCAATGAAAATGTGGTAATTGTTGGGTCATTATCTGAATTATAATTCACAGATGTAAAAAAAATGCTGTGCCTGCTCTAGAGATGCAGATGGCACATTTTACTATCAAAGGAAATGTGTCTTGCAAGACTAAAATCACTTCAATAGTTACAGAGAGTAGAGTATTTTCATGCAGAATAGTAGTGTTTATTTGTGATTTTCTGATGAGCTGTGTCATACACTTTTCTTTCCTATCAGCTCCAATCAGCAACTATGACTTAAGATACAATCCAATTTAACTTTCTTTAGCCTGAATGCAGGAACTCTTACATTAGCAGCTGGGCATGGGGATGAAGAAAGAAACCACCACACATTGTAACAACAGAATATTGCATTTAGAGTCAATAAGAATTTCCTATAATCATTTTATGAGGGCTTTTGCTGTGTTATTACACTTTTCAGATTTAGGTGGTAGTGTAATTTTCTTCGAAATGCAAAAAAAAAAATGCCAGTCAAGGTATTCTGGACTATCTTGCATTTTAGCTCATTTATTGGCCGAGTCAATTTGCTGGATTTGGTCTCAACTGAAATATCTCAAAATAAACTAATTGGATTGCAAAACAATTCTCTATACAGTTTTCTCTCTGCATTCTAAATATTATTTTTGCTCACCTAACTCTTCCCCTAGTGTATCAATATTTGTCCAGTACTTAGTGTATGATTGCTTTGTCATTTGCTTAAATATTGACATTCCCCTTAGCTTGACAGAAGTTGGTCTTTGAGTCTCTGCTAATTTCCTAATGCTAGCATGCTATCCCACTAAGCTAGCATGGTGAACACATTGAAAGGACAACTTTACTGATAATCTTTACCAGATCAGAGAAGCCAACAGGTTTGTTGAGCTGCCCTGACTCACACTGCCCTCACTTTCCATTGTCCTTCTCAACTTCCATCACATAGGTTTGCTTTTGTGATTGTTTTGAGATTTGTAAAGTTCACAGCTCTTCATGCTGTTCCATCCTGGATTACAGCTAAAGATTTGATAGTTCTTTGAATATGGGATCACACGCAGAAAGTTTTCTTTTGTAATGTTTTATTATCTCTTGTGTAAGTATTACATAAAGAGGATATCCGGTACTTTTTAAATAATTTTAACCCTGACTGTAAACGTTATTATCTTTATATTTATTACCCTTATAAAGACAACTGAAAGCTACTCTGACACAATGCTCATGCCCTATTGAAGTTATGAGTTATGATGATATGACATCTCTGTGTTTCCCCTACCATTATATCAGGGGGCGGCCCACCCCCCCAACGGCCCCCACTTGAAGGTCAAGTTAATAAAAAAACAATGTTTTTTTTTTTTTTTTTTTTTAATTTACTTTTGTGCTTTTTGGGCCTTTATTGTATAGATATGATAGTGGATAGAGTCGCAAAGCAGGGAAAGAAGTCATTTAAGGATACCTTTCCGATAGAACAGCTGTCATTAAAAGTAACGCATGAACACCAAGATTCCTTCAAGTGTTTGTGTCGGTGTCGGTCTGCCCCCCCCCCCAAGCTGTGAACACTGTCTCTCTATGGAGCAGTATAGAGTATATTTTAACTTGGTGACATCTGAGGTGCTGAAATAGTAATACACTTCAGGAGGGATTGACTGATTGTTTTTCTCCAAATGTGTCTTTTCACAGATCTTTAATGGATACAGTATCATGCCAGAACAGTTCCAAAAGTTTTTCATAGCAGGATTTCTGTTGAAGCTAATAGCTGTGATTTAGTTGACATCTGTGTTTGTGCTCTCAGCCCAGTCAAGTGGGGATGATAAAGGAGGTGACCTGCTTGTGTCTGCACTGTTTAACTTTAACACAAGTGCCTCACTGACGCAAAGGAAATCGCATACACATCACGCACACACACACACACACACACACACACACACACACACACACAAAGTGCACAAATTTACAAACTGTAACACACAAAGTATGCAAATTATTTATAAGAATATGGACAGTTTGAGAGTCTGACTCTGACACTTGACATTCCACATACTGTATGTGCAAATGAAACTTACAGTGATTAGTACTTATCCATGTTGCTTTGTGAAAACTAGCGCGTGTGTGCCTGTATTTTTTGCGTCAGTTTCGGGTTTTCTTAATAATGTGTGTATCGACTGTGTGTTTCTCTCGTGTCTGTGTGCATATTTTAAGGATCTCCTTTTGTATGTACAGGAAACAGAGAAGAGGAAACAGAAACAGAGTTAAGTCCAATCTGATGTCCCCTCTTAAAATCTGTCTCGGACAGAAAACAGACTCAGACAATCAGATTACAGCCAAAAGGAAGATAAAGCTAGTGGAGGAATCCTGTAGAATAACTTTGGAAAGATGTTTTGGGTTAGTCTGTGGGTAGATGGATGTTTCTCTGTGGTAGAGTTACTAGTCCTGATAAAATGTTGATTGAAAAAATCATTAGAATGTTTTTATACTGTGGCAAAAGGGGAAAAATCTCAGTTTTTGTGCGCTATTTTAGATATACTGTTGCAAGGAAACAGCATGGATATAAAATTCTTAAATGTTTAAATGATTCTTATTGACATCTGCTTTCTCAGTTTTATATTTGTACGTCTTACATTGTTGTTTTAGCTTTTGATTAACTGTAGATTCCTGTTTTTCCAAAATGTGCTCTGGAAAGAGACAGCATCAGAAACCCTTTTCACACATACAGAAATCTCCTGAAAAACTCCGGAGATTTGGCTACCCGGAGGTTCTTTAGGCTGTGTGTGAACGCAAACAGCCGCATTTTTCACGCAGATTTTACCCAGAGTTTCTCCGGCCAGACCCCTAGTATTTTATCCGCAGAAAATCCAAGTGAGCTGATGTCTGAACGCGGCCGCATATACTCCGGATATTTCAACTTGAGCTCACCTCGAGCCAATTGGAAGAGAATGACGTTTATATACAGTGACCGGCTAAAGTGTCTGCAAGCGACCACTACGATCTCCGTGCATGTAATTAAACGGCTGCATTCTGTTTTCTGTTCGTCAGTATGTTGTTCTCCTCTCTTTTGTGGATGTTGTCATTCCATTGGATTACACATAGCATTGATATAAAGGCATTGATATGAAAATCCTGTGGCTGTTTCCCCCAGTGGTCCCAACTACAAACACAGACAGAGAAACACACGATGTAGACACTCACAGCATCAGCAGTGGATAGTAAAAACTTGTTTGTGATTAGAGTCATAACAAAGACCCTGTGTTGTGCCCTCTAGTAGAGAAAGTAGAGAAGACATCTTTACTCTCATTAGATGATACTTTACAAGGTTGTTTAAAAAAAGTATTTGTCATACATTTTGTACAATTATCCATGCAACCATTTGCAGTTCAATTGCTTTGTAGTTTTATTCAAATTAAAGCAGAACTTCAAATCTGAGTTGAAAAGGTCATGTATAATGTCTAAGGCGGTAACCACTAATGACATGAAGTGAGATACACTTCAGTCAGAACACACCCCCACAGCAGTTTACTCCTTTTCTCCTGGGCTGGTGTGGCAGGAAGCTAATTGACTTATTGGGCCCTGCACTCAAATGCTGAGCAAAAACTACAGAAAATACTTCCCTAAGAAACTCAAAATAAGTCCTCTAAACTGCACATAATTTATTTGTTTGTCTTCCTTGATTTTCCCAAGGAACTTCACACCCCAGCGTTGTCTATAAGCAAAATCTTCACCTGAAAGCAACAGCTTGGTCCTGTAGTATTCCCCACCATGAAAAGAGAGATACTGCTGTTGATTTACAGAACAGACTTCATGATTACATCTGGCAAGTTGTTGTAGAGACTTCAGGAGAGCAATATATTGAACGTTTTTAATGAACCATGCCTTGTTCTAAAAGGAAAAGACATTAACAGATATGCCAGTATGTAGTCTATGCATTATTTGACTCATACAAAGCTTTAAATGCTCTATTGTCCTACTTTTTGCCTGAGCCAAGCGGCCTCTGTTTACATTCTTTAATGCTTATTTAACACTTCTAGTTTTATCTTCTTACACATCGTACAAGTTTATACATATCTTATACATTTTTTTTTACTCCTTTGTAATCTGCACTTTGCATGACAAACCTCTTTTTCTTTTTATTACGGGGCTCACATTTATGCTTTGAGTCTGGTCATTGTCTCAATATTGGCTCCAAATATTTGACAAAGAGCAGCTCAATGAATGCTGTGAGAAACAAAAGATTTTCTTTTGTATGTATGCTGTGACTGTAGGCGCTGCATGTTGCTTTTTTTCTTACAGTAGTATACATTTATTGACATTTAATCTCACTTCTGTGGTCCCTCTGTAGTTTCTCTGTGATTCTCTCGCTGTCATCTTCCCTCCTTCAGAGCAGCTGACATCATTCCTTAAAACAGTGTGGGCTGAAAGTGTGAGCTTGAACTCAAAAATAAAGTTTGGGAGTGAGTCAAACAGGAGTGAAAGGTGTAAGATAAGAGTTTGGTGCATGCTGAGTTTGTACAAAGTAGACTGCAAATGATAAGTTACCTGCCCATAGCCTTTACAGACAAACCTGTACAGTGGATTTTGGTGCATATCAAAGGAAAAACATCTATATTTAAACGGTTGCGCTGTTAATTCCTTTCTGGGAGCCAATGTGCTGTTATGAATCCTTGTCCC